GCTCCTGATCCGTCTTCGAAGAACGTGCGCACCTATCGTGTCGTCAACGGATATCCTCTTTTTATTAAACAGACTATAAGCAGGTGACTCTGGAAGGGGTATTCGCTCCCAATATCTGATGTATGGCTTCGTAGCTTCGGTAGCTAAATTTTGTAAATGAAAATTCAATGAAGGTGGTGACAATTGATATTTTTGGTCAACATTTTCCCGTGAGCTCAATCGTCTTCAAATGGATAGTTGGTTGCAGGAAACGCTCAATGAAACTTTAAAATGCTTACGCTACTCTTTACTATGATTCATTTGGTTGGTTTTTGCGCTTCTAGTTACAATTATAAAATTCCTTTGGTCTCAGAACTTATTGGGCACCCTTATGATACTGCATGAGAAGGTTGATAGCAAAAAGTCTATTTTGTTTTGCTATAACTGTCTTTAGCTATCTATTCCATTAAGGGGTTTCTACTCACTAAGTTTGAAGTTGTATAGTGTTTCAATAAAGAACTCATCAGTCGACCTACCCTTTTTTCAAGTATAATTAGTATTTTAGGAGTTTTCTCTAAGCAAATGGATGTTGATGCAATCATCGTCATGGGCGTGAGTGGATGCGGTAAAACAACCATAGGTACCCAGATAGCAAAACACTTAGGATGGACTTACAAGGATGGAGATGAATTCCATTCTGATGCGAATATAACAAAAATGAGCTCTGGTAGGAGAAATTCTCCTTTTTTGTGGATTTTTTTTGATCTCATAGTTATAGGCATTCCTTTAAACGATGAGGACCGTCGACCATGGTTAACAGCGATAAACGACTATTGTAAATCTCATCCGAAGGTCGTTGTAGGATGTTCTGCGTTGAAGCGAAAGTATAGGGACATGTTGAGAAATGATGTACGCTGCAAATTCATTTTTCTGAATGTCAGTAGGTAAGTAACTGCGGTATTTATGAAGATGAAATCTACCTCTGTTTACAATTTTATTATTCTAGAAAAGAATTGGAGCGCCGTCTGCAGTTGAGAAAAGATCACTACATGCCCAGCCATCTTTTGGATAGTCAACTAGCAACACTAGAGCCTCCTGGGGCAGATGAGAATACTCTAACATTGAACATTGAGAATGAAGCTCCCATTGAAGTCACTGAGGCTTTAATCAAGCGACTATAGGTATAGGCGTCGAAAGTCCTTTAAGGAAATTCGTGATAGTAACGTTGCTCATGGTTTTACAACAATCTATGTTTGTACTACATTAGCTCAAGGTCTACGACCTCCGATATCCTTTTCAATAATTTTATTAAGTTATTTCCTGAGATGTAATAAATTAGTAGAAAACTAGATGTCAAAATTTATTTTATAAGAAATTTTCTCAAGTAAAATCCTATTGTGGTCCAT